TGGATCTGCTGCACATCTCGCAGCTGGTCCTGTCCCGAACTGTTGTCGCCACCAGAGCGAGCATTACCCCAGGTGACCACAGATCCATCACCCAGGATTGCAGCAAATGCCCGATCAGAGGCTTGGATCTGCTGCACATGTCGCAGCTGATCCTTTACCACACTGCTGTCGCCCCCATGGTCGGCCTCACCCCAGGTGACCACAGATCCATCACTCAGGATTGCGGCAAATGCGAAATCAGAAGCCTGGATCTGCTGCACATCGCGCAGCTGATCCTGTGCTACACTGCTGTCGCCACCGTTGTCGGCATCACCCCAGCTGACTACAGATCCATCACCCAGGACTGCGGCAAAAGCAGAGGTCGCACCGAATGGCGCGGTGGCTTGAAGCTGGACTTGGTTCACGTGTAACGTGAACTGGTCTCCACTCTTCAACTTCGCTTCTATGATAGTTTTCGCTCCGTCAAGGACCTCTCCAGAAGAGTTCAGCAGCCTCCCTCTACCCGTGGCCAGGGCACTCTGGGCACGCTGCTTCAATGACTCAACAGATGCATCCGCCTCCACTTCCAAAGAGGCACTCTTGCCACTGAGCAGGTGAACGTCCACAGAAATCGACATGATGCTTTGTAGGAAACCCTGAACCCTAAACCCTAAGCTCTGAACCCTAAACCCCCTAAACCCTGAACCCTGAACCCTAAACCCCTAACCCTAAACTCTAAACCCTGGACCCTGAACCTCTAACCCTACACCCTCAACCCTGCAGAACTGGTCGATCAAGGCAATGCAAAGGCTGGAGCCTTCTAGATGCTCCGAAGCGCTGGGCACTTGAGCCTACAGCCCGTGACCCAAAAAAAGGCTCTTAGCCTCAACGGCTCAGGGAGTTTAGGGATTTAGGGTTAAGAACAAATAGTGCTGGGATTCCTGATAGATTACTCGTATGGCTTGAGGAAGTTGGGTTTCCAACTTTTGGGCTTCTACCGTAAGCCCTGCAACCTAGAGCCCCACCCCGTGATCGCTAAACAGCTTGGGGACTGGGCCTAGGCTGGATTTTTGTGTTTTTCTCTCTTCGGCTTTGCAGTCGGTTTAGGTAGTCTTCTGTTGGTTTCTTTTGGCTCTGCCTCAAACTTGAGTTCCGCCCCTGTGGTCCCACAGCTCTTCTCACTCCCGGGACATTCTGCAACACCCGAAACCCTCACCTAATCCTAAACCCCTAGTAGTCTTGGCCCAAAACCCAAAACCCAAACCCTAAACCCTAAGCACACACACACACACACACTCGCTCGAGTCTGACAAGACTTGGGTAGATTTGGCATCCAGGGACTGGGGAGAATTTTGAGGCCTGCGCCAACGGCCAGGAAGAAAAACCATAAGACCTCAAACCCTGACACCGACTTGGTGTTTAGGGTTTAGGGTTTAGGGTTGTTGGGCCCTAAACCCTAAACCCTAAACTCCTAAACCCTTGGTAGCGGTTCGTGCAGTAGCATCAAGACAGGTAGCATCAGGACATGCCCCACGGACACCGGGTCTGTGTCTGTCACCAAGACAAACATGCTTGACGCATCCTGAAGCCCCAAACACTCCTTACTTGGAGGATCATGGGATTTAGTAAGTAAGGTTATAAGTCCCTTAATTGGGGTTATAAGTAAATATAAGTATAGTTGCCTTAATTAGAACCCTACTTACTAAGTCCCATGATCCTTTAAGTAACACACGAAAAGCCGGGGAAAGGGCTTGCCCGCAAACTCTGCGAAGGTGAGGCCGTCTTCCTGCACACCGGGAAATTTTGGGGTTCGGGGCTTTAGCCTTTTTGCGGCTTTGCGGGTTCCGGATTTTGGTGTCTAGAACCTCAGATTTGAGATTTGATCTGTTCGGCTCTTCCAGTTCAGGCTTGTGGGGATTTACCGTTTTCTGTGATTGGGCTTCGAGTTTAGCGCTTAGGGAAGTGGGTTTGGGATGTCCGGCTGGCTGTGGCATGGCACCTACGCAAAGACACTGCCAAGCCTGGAGCCGAAAGCATCGTCTTAACGAGATTCGCCCAAACCCCCAAACCCGGAACCTTCCTGAACCCGGAACCCAAAGCCCTGAAGTCGCCACAATCCTAAACCCCAGCCCTAAACCCTGAACCCTAAATCCTGAACCCTGAACCCTGAACCCAAAGCCCCAAACCTTCGAGTCTCCTTACTAAACCCTACTTGGAGGATCATGGGACGTAGCAAGTAAGGTTATAGGCCCCTTAATTGGGGTTATAAGTCAATACAAGTATAGTTGCCTTAATTATAACCCTACTTACTAAGTCCCATGATCTTTTAAGTAAGCCCTACCGCCTCCCACTGACGCCCCGGTGGGCGGCACGCTGCCGCCACGCTGCGGCGCTCGGGCGCATCGTGGCCCACGAGCCCCGCCTGGCGAAAACTTCGAGCTTCTTTATACTTTGGGTGCTGTAGGGGTTCTATATGGCATTAGTGAAGCCTTTCTAGCCGTCCTGAATGAGACTCGGGTTCAGAGTCATTAATGAAGCCTTTCTAGCCGTCATGAACGAGATTCGGGTTCAGAGTATTCAAGACTTCTAGAAGTCAAAGGGGAATATATATATATATATATTACTAGTTGTCCCTACCCGTCTGGCAGGACAGGCCTCGAGGACCGCCCGGTGGACTTCCAGGCCCATCAGCACATCCTCCTGCGTCGTGGCTTCCGGGGTGGCCTACATGCGCTCTAGAAATCAGAAACCCTGAAAACCCTAAAAACCCTA